TTAGCCCCCTTTTGATTTTTTTTTTTCCTTTTTAATATTTCCAAACGATGCTTGACAGAGCAAGGAAATTTTCACAGTATGTCTGATAATATTTTTTCATCTAGAAAAAGTCCTATTTGTTTTATTTTGGCTAGAATAAAAGCAGTTTAGAATTTTTTAAAATCTATTTTTGGGACAAAATTATTAGCCCCTTTAAGCTTTTTTTTTTTTTTTTGATAATCTACAGAACAGACCATCGTTACACAATAACTTGCCTAATTACCCTAACCTGCCTAGTTCATCTTATTAACCTAGTTAAGCCTTTAAATGTCACTAAGCTGTATGGAAGTGTCTTGAAAAATATCAATTATAATATTATTTATTGTCATCATGGCAAATATGAAACAATCTTCCCTCAATTAAACAGAAATTGTGGAAAAAAATAAACAGGGGCGCTAATAATTCAGAGGGGCTAATAATTCTGACTTCAACTGTATATATATATATATATATATATATATATATATATATATATATATATATATATATATATATATATATATATATATATATATATATATATATATATATATATATATATATATACACATATTTTTTTATTTTTTATTTTTTTGGTCTACAGAACAAACCGTATTTATACAATAACTTGCTTAATTACCCTAACCTGCCTACTTAACCTAATTAACCTTTAACCTTGACCTAAATGTCACTTTAAGCTGTATAGAAGTGTCTTGAAAAATATCTAGTCAAATATTATTTACTGTCATCATGGCAAAGATAAAATAAATCAGTTATTAGAAATGAGTTATTAAAACTATTGTGTTTAGAAATGTGTTGACAAAATCTTCTCTCCGTTAAACAGAAATTGGGGAAAACAATAAACAAGGAAGTTAATAATTCAGGGGTTTAACAATTTTATTGTAAATCTCTGTTTATAGTTAAAACAAACTGTATGTAATGTTCATAGTACATCATCTGTAAATATCACCATAGTTTTCTATAATTACACTTTATAACTTATACCTGTATCCAGCACTTGTTGCTATTGCACTCCTGGTTAGACCTAAACTACATTTCGTTGCCTTGTACTTGTACTTGTACATGTTTTATGACAATAACGTTGAACCTTATCTAATCTAATGTAGTCTAATCTAATGTAATCTAATTATCTTATATATTAGATAACTAAATTGATTCCACTAACTTGTAATGAGTTTACATTTATTAAAACATCTAAAATCAAAACATTTATCTGTTAACCCTTATTTTGTTTGCTTTGACCTAACATGTAACATCTGTTTTTTTCCTCTATTAAGTTATGTAAACCAATTTTAATTTAAGCTGTAAATATATATATGTTTCCTATTGTTATATATATATATATATATATATATATATATATATATATATATATATATAAAATAAATATATATATATTTATATTTTATATATATATATATATAAATATATAAAAAAA